ACTTGGTGCCTTGGAGTTGGGCCCAACTAATGGATTGGTAGGTTTATTTATTTATCTACTTCTTCTGGTCTCATTCACATCATCCATTTTTCCTTTCAACTGATTGTTGCTTTGTGTTTTTGAGCAAGGATGCTGGCTTCAAAACTAAGGTGTGCCAGCCCAAGCTGTGATGTTTTTATTTGCTTCATATGAGTGTTAAAGTTGGACAGTGACTGAGGAGGGCTGGAGAGTTGATGCCTTTGACTGTGAATTGTGTTAGTGATGAGTGTTGACTCTCACGTGGACTGCCAGAAGAACAAACCTGGCTGTGGCAGGAGTAGCCAGAGTGCTCCCCAGAGGCGAGGGTGGCGAGACTTTGTCTCACAGACTTTGGACTTGATGTCAGGAGGGGCCAGTCCTTGGAAAAAGACATCCTGCTGGGGAAAATAGATCAGCAGAAGAAAAAGACCTCCATGAGATGGATTGACAGTGATTGCAGCAGGGGGCGTGAGCGTGGTCGAGGTCGTGCAGATGGGCTGAAATGGGGGCAAGAGTTTGATTTATTGTTCATGGGGTTGTTGAGTCCTCGTCAACTCAATAGACCCCAACGACAGGAGTTGTACTTCTGGGAATTGAGCCCACAGAAGCTAAGGCTTCGCTCATTCATATAAAACAGGTAGAGCTTTATTTATAATTTCCCTAAATTGGCAACTCTGGTGGTCTCGTGGCAAGAAACTCTCCTGCAATCCCAAAGGCACACAGTTCAAGGCCACCAGCTGCTCTGCGGGGGTATGGGCAGTTTTTCCCGTGTCATTAACTGCCTCTGAAAACCCGCTGGAGGGCCAGCTATGGCTCAGTTCTGACTATATATTATACAACAACAACAAAACAAACTGGCAAAAGTTAGATGTCCTTCAGTGGGGGTGGTTAACCTTTGCATCCATGCTATGGATTATTATGGATTATCTTATTAGCAATAAGAAAGAACAGACTGGTAATAGAACACATGTCCTGGGTGAGTTTCCAGGCCTGGTGGAGAAAGCCAGTCCCCAAAGGTCACGTACTGTCTGGCTCTGTTTGAATAACGTTCTCAAATTGGCAAAGGTGCAGAAACAGCAGATTAGCAGTTGCCGGGGCTCACAGAGGACATGCGGATGGGGAAGTGTGGTTGTGGGCAGTGTGCCTGATCCTCGTGGGTGGAACATTCGTTCTGACTGACCTGTGTCTGTGACCTGGCTGTGACGTCATGACCGAGGACACTGGATGAAGGTGCTCTAGTCTCTCCTTTGTTTCTTACACCTTTGTGTAAATCTGTCCTGGTCACAAAAGAAAAGATTTTGTGTGCCCCCCACCCCCCAGGACTGCCCACCTCAGACCTCACGTAGTGTCTTGGCGGCACAGCGGGGCCAGGGCCCTGTGAGCGCCTGCACCACTGGCTGCGGCACACAGATGACCACTTGTTTGGAAAGAGCCCCGTGTGGAGGGGGTGCCCTGCTGGCCGTCCTCTGTGCTACCTTCCCCGCACCCCTCTACTCACTTGACTTCTGCCTGTTCACGATGAGCAGAACTGCAGGTGCCCTGAGAGAGGCTGTGGGCTGGCGCGAAGCCACGTTTTGTTAAAGTTCCACCGTTTCCACTTGCGGTTTTTTTATGGGAAAAGCTCCTCATTGTTGGGTGACAGGTGGAACTAGATCAGCTTCTAATAAAAATAAAACGAATTCTGCATATTAAATTCTCTACTCAGAGTCTCTGCTTTAGCTTGGTCCAGTGCAAGTAGAAGATGCCCACATCCTGCTGTCGGACCCCTGGGGACTGGCCGTCGAGATGGCCTTGCGTCTGTCATTCTTAGTGGAAAACTCTAGATGTTATGAAATGACCATTCTGTGTTGTCTGACGGTTTCATCACATCCCAGCTCAGCTCCTCTTTGGTCAGGGCAGAGTTGAGTAATTTTCCCTGTCATCCCTCTGTCATCCCAAGAATCCTCCTTTGTGAAGACTTAAAATTCATTTCCCCTGTCAGGTACTCTCTCTGTTTCTGTATTACATATAGTTCCGTTTCAAACATAAAAAGACTAAAATATGTTCCTTTAGATATTTAACTTTTACAGAGCTCAGTGGAATTCTGAAAACTGCCACTGTGATGTGGGTCTCACCTCAGTCCTTCTGGGGTTTTTGTTTTTGTTTTTGGAGAGTAAATTCTCTTTTAGTGTCTTTGGAAGCATGGAAGCCTTTAGGTGTGTCAGTTTTAATATTCTGAAATGGATGTAAAAAGAAAAGTTTGGCGTAAAGAGCTTCCGGAAGCTGGCTGGTCCTGCCTCAGCCGGCCAGCTCGCACACTCAGCCGTGTCCCATGCTGCACTCGCAGCCCCTGCTGTGAACATGGGCCCCGTGGTCTCTGACTGTCCTCTAAGAGGTGTTGTGGTTTCTTCAGGTGGCCGTCAGCTTCACGAGCAGAGAGCACAGCGGAGTGTGACCGATGGCGCCGGAGAGAAGCGAGCCGAGAATGGGGTGAGTGGGCTCCTCAGGGCGCACCTTGGGAGTTGTGTTTTGCTTGTATCTGTGAGTTCAAGTTCTCGTTTATTATAAAACACCTCCTTTAGGTCCAGATAGTGTCATTTGTGCTACGTCATTCGGAGGCACTTTATGGTGTTAGAAAGGCACAGTCATTCTGGTGACCACACCAGTCCGTCCCGTGGCTGTGCCCTGCTGTCCGCACAGGCCTTCTGCCTCTGGACGGGGTGCCCCTTGCATCTCCTGGGGCCGGCCTCCCTGTGGCCGTGGAAGCTCAGCCCCCAGACTCAAGGCTTGCGTGGCCAGGCTTGCTTTGCGTGGTAAGTGCTGCTGCTTGATCTTTTGGTCAGGCTTGAAAGATACGCCGGTGGCACGTCAGTGTCTTCCTGACAGCACGAGGACTGAAGCACCGTGTGTGGACGTGAAGTGAGACTGAACTTGGATGAGAGGAGAGGATAGACGTTAAAGTCATTGTCATTGTTAGTGTCGACGGGATGTTTTTAAGAAATGTGGATGTGTGTTGAATGAGAAGATAAGAAAATGGCGTCATTTTTTTTCCTGGAAATTTTAAGAATACGTTTTCCATAAGACTAGAGAATCAGCTGGTTACTTTTTCTGTCTCTGTCACTAGCCAGGCATGTAACGTTGGGCGCATTGCTTTACTGGGCTGGTCCTTGGCCCGTCTGTACATGGACAGGGAAGTGGACCTGCTTGCTGTGAGGTCCCTTCTAGCTTGTGACCCTGCAGGGCAGAGGAGAGCTGCCTGTGGCACCTGCAAGGCTGTGCATTTTAACACGAGAGACTGCATCATCTTTGTCCCTTGGTTTAAACCCCCGCCCTCAGCCAGGTCCTTTAGCCCCAGCACTAACGGAGCTCTGCAGAGAAGGAAAGGGAAACCAGTGTGTGGACCAGAGAGCAGCACAGTGGGAGGAGATCAGTGCACCTGAACAAAGCTTGGTAAACTTTCTGAGGGTGGAACTCAGGGCCCAGCTCCCAGAGGACGGCCGAGGTCTCTGAAGAGGCACGCCGCTCCCTGGTGGCAGAGAGCGATTACAGACAGGGGATGCAGAGCGCTGTGGAGGATGTGGTGGTGGCCCCGGCTCGAGGAGAAGCTGGGGTATTGGCCCCATTGTCAGTAGACTGAAAGCTCAAACCTACAACTGCCAGGGAGACGGACCGATGAGCCGGACAGGGTGAGGGGAGCCCCCATGGGGACTAGAGGTTACTACCACCACTGCTGTTCCCCACCAGGGAAGCCCAGAGAGCAACTTACAGCAAAGGGAACATTTGAAAAGAAAGCACTTAAAGAACCTGGACTTAGACTCAGAAGGCAGCTTGTTAGTTACAAGATACGGGAGTGATACTTCCTGACACTATGTCCTTTCTCTGTAGGAATTTGAAAAGAACTGTTTCTTTGGGATGAAAACATTGTTATTCCATAGGAAATAATTTTTATGAGATTCGTCTCAAAAATTATCAGATTTGGGTCTTGTCGTCGTTGAGTACTAAAGAGTTGGAACCAACCCACAGCTGACCCTCCAGCGGGTTTTCAGAGGCTGTTAACTGCATGGGAGGAGATTGCCTACCCTTCTCCTGTGGAGCAGCTAGTGGATTCGAACTGTGTACCTTTGAGATTGGAGCATAGCTTCTTGCTACTAGGCTGCCTGGGTGGGGTGGGGGGATCACGGAGTCACAGAGTTTGGTGGGTGGACAGAGTGGATGAAGGAATTAGGAAAGATCCGGTAGGAATCTGAAAAAGATGGAGTGATAGTGAGCATAGATTAGCGATGATTAACCTTATAAGACACATAGTGTGGGATGATCGTAAGAAAAAACAAAACAAGACGAAATGTAGCCACTTAGATGCACCTGCTTTGTCATGGTGCCCAAGAAAGTTCAAAGGCAGAGAGAGGCCTTACCAAGTGGTGGGCACCCCGTCTCGCTAGCCGCCTCCTCCCCTCCTCTCCTCACCGCTGGCTGGGGCACAGCAGTCCTCTTACCAGCTTGGACATGTGAGCAGTCGACAGCTCTCACCCGACCTGCACTCAGCTTCTTCAGCGCACGGAGCCTGTCTCGTTCCTCTGAGGGGGACGAAACCCGTCCTGCTGACAGTCAACCACCTTGATCTATAGAAACAGCCAACTGCTGTCTGATGAGGGATTAAAATTTATAGAAAACTCCAGCACCTCAACAAGAAAAAGGCAGCCTGTTTACAGATTGGGCGGAGGATATGAAAAGACCTCACAAAGTAAGCAAGCCATTCAGATGGCAGATGACCACGGGAAGAACTGCTGCAGAGTCAGAGCTGACCCTTACCTGCCCCTCCCATGGGCTCCCAGGGGCCGCAGTCCCACGAGGGGAAGCTGTGCCTCTTCTGACTGACAGCGGCTGGTGGCAGGTGGGCTGGGTTGGCAGCGCGGGTCCTTACCCACTAGCCCTCCCGAGTCACTAGAGAGATAGAGCACGATCCCACCTCCCAGCAGGAACAGAGCTGTCACTCAGGGACTGGGACGCAGAGAAGCCCATGAGAAACAGGTGTCAGCCCTGCCCACAGCGCCTTCCTCAGGCTCTCTGCCACCCTCAGGCATTACTCGTCCCTGCCCCAGTCCATCGTGTCGAAGGCCTTCCGCTGCCTCTGACCTTCCGTGCTGGAGGGGTGTCACGGCATTTCTAACACCAGTAGGGTCACCCGTGGTGGACAGGAGTCAATAGCGCTGAGACAGACTAGGAAGCAGGACTGGCCTTCGTGTCTGAAACAACAGCCGTGGAAGCCCTGGGGGCAACAGGAGCACACTGTTAGGTATAGTGCTCGGAGTCGAGCCCTCAGGTAGAAGGACATTGAGACGAGTGAGGAGACACAGCCACAGACACCATGGATTGTTTTAATGTGGAATGTATGAAACAGGAACCCAGGAAGTTGTAAAAAAGTCGAATGGAACCCATAAAGATTAGCATCCAGGGCACTCGTGAGCTGATGGCCTGGCCATGGCCAACAGCAAAGCGAAGTTCATTAAGAGAGTAGACACATGCTGGAGGGAGCATGGCGAGGTTAAAACGGCACACGCTATGAAAACCCAAAATCTCTGTAAATGTTCATTAAAACTAATAAAATTTAATAATAATTTAAAAAGATGGAAGGAATATATGCATATTAACTTCTAGAAAATCAGCTATTAAAGCCTGAAAGGGTGACAGCTGAGACCATCTGAGCTCACCATAGATGAAGGCATCGCTGTGCTTGTGTCAGCAACCATTTAATCATGTGCAAGACTGGCTTTGCACTGGGGCTCTCTCCCCCTCTATCGTGGGCCACCCTCTGCACCATGGTATGATAGTAGGCATGAGCCAGAAGGACTCCTACGTGGGTAATGAAGCCCAGAGCAAGAAAGACATCCTGACCCTCCAGTACCCCACTGAACATGGCATCGTCATCAGTGGAGATGATATGGAGAAGATCTGGCACCACACCTTCTATAATTAGGGCATGGGACCCTTCCAGAGAACCCCATGCTGCTGACTGAGGCCACTCTGAACCCCAAGGCTAACCAGATGAAGATGGCCCAGATCATGTTCAAGGCTTTAAACACTCCTGGCATACATGTTGACATCAGGCCATGTAGTCCCTTGTATGCTTCTGGCCACACCACTGTCATCATGATGGATTCTGTCGATGGGGTCGCACACACTGTGCCTGTCTATAAGGGGTACGCCCTCCCCCAGGCCATCCTGCATCAGAACAGGGCTGGCCAGGACCTGACAGACTACCTCATGAATATTCTCTCCGAACAAGGTTATAGCTTCAACACTATGGATGACCAGGAAATTGCAGGAGACATCAAGGAGGAACTCTATTACACTGCCCTGGACTTTAAGCAGGAGATGGCCACGGCGGCTTCCTTGTCTTTCTTGGACAAGAGCTATGTGCTTCCCAATGGACAAGTCAATCACCATGACAGTGAGTGTTTCCGCTGCCCCGAGGCACTCTTCCAGCCCTTCTTCCTGGACATGGAGTCTTGAGGCATCCACAGAACTACCTTCAACTCCATCATGAAGTGTGATGTTGACATCCGCAAGGACCTCTACACCAACACAGTGCTATCTGGCGGGACCACCACGGACCCAGGCATCGCTGACAGGATGCAGAAGGAGATCACAGCACTGGCCCCCAGCACGATGAAGACCATGATCATCGTTCCCCCTGAGCACAGATACTCTTGTGTGAATCATGGCTCCATCCTGGCCTCCCCGTCCACTTTCCAGCAGATCTGCATCAACAAGCAAGAGTATGACAAGTCTGGCCCCTCCAAAGTCCACCGCAAATGCTTCTAGGTGGACTGTTTAGTTGTATTATACCCTTTCTTGATTAAAAACCTAATTCGTGCAGAAAATAAAACAAAAATTGAGATGAGAAAAAAAAACCTGCACACGCTGCTGCTGAGAGTGTACAGTGAGCACTGTGGGAGAGGTTGGGGTTGCCGGCAGAAGTGGAAATCCAAGTTCCATTGGGCCTGACTCTTCTCCTGCTCGGACCATGCCCTAAAGAAACGAGCTGTGACGTGATACGTACACTGTTCATTAGAGCGCTCCCTGCTGCAGAGATGACGGAGAACATCCTTTGGGCATCTGCTAGGAGGCTGTTCCTTAGAGAAGGACATCATGCTTAGAAAGGTGGACCATCAGGGAAGCAGAGGAAGACCCCCGCTGACGGACTGCATGGTGACTGCCACACGAGGGCTGAAGGGCAGGGCGGTGTGGAGCCAGGGCTGAAGGGCAGGGCGGTGTGGAGCCAGGGCTGAAGGTCGGTGTGGAGCCAGGGGTGAAGGGTGGTGTGTAGCCAGGGGTGAAGGTTGGTGTGTAGCCAGGGGTGAAGGGCAGGGCAGTGTGTAGCCAGGGGTGAAGGTTGGTGTGGAGCCAGGGGTGAAGGGTGGTGTGTAGCCAGGGGTGAAGGTTGGTGTGTAGCCAGGGGTGAAGGGTGGTGTGGAGCCAGGGGTAAAGGGCAGGGCGCTGTGGAACTGGGGAGATCACACACTGTGCCTCTTGTAGTTGACAGAGTGGAACAAAACTTGCGTAAATGATTGGTTGAAGAAAGCAACATGCTGCATAAACTTTCACTCATTCTGGTTTAAAAGAATACTTTTCTATGATTCAAAACAGGCGTGAATCTCAGGGAGCCTGGTGGGGTTCCTGTGGCACAGTGGCACAGCTGTGGCCGTGAACACTGACGTGAGCCAGGCCAACGTCTTGTGAGAAGACACGAGAGGACTCAGATGTGGCAGGGAGGCCAGGGGGAGCTCCCCACCATCCCTGACCTCATCTGTAAAATGGGGTTATGTGGCCTAGGATAGCTGTGAGTCCAGCCCGGCCTGGCAGCTCCGTGCACGGCGGACTCACAACAGCGTGGTAGCTATTGAATCTCTAGAATTCAGAATTGCTGGGAAAGCTGTGTGTCCTTCCATCTCTGGTGATGCCAGGGACCCTGTGTGAGCACTGGCACAGCTCTGGGAGAGCTTCCTTGGCCAGTCAGCAACTTCAGGAAGCAGACGGCTTTGCAGCCAGATCTTCAAGGAAGAGGAGATTAGGAAAATGGAAGAGGGTGTTCTAGATAGGGGGAGGGATGAGCAGAATGGTGGAGATGTCGGTCCTGGGTCAAAGACAAGCACAGGAAGCCGCGAGGTCCCAAGGGCACTTGACCCCAGCTTGGGGAGACAAGATAGGAACCGAGACGCGGAGCAGGCGCTTGGACAGGCATTGTTGGGCAGTGCGTCCTGTCAGTGACCCCATGTTCAGCACCACACCATCCTTAGGCCAGCTAGCTTTGAGCCTGTTCTTGCAGCCACTGTAGCCATGCAGCCTACCCAGCATGGCGTCCTTCTCCAGGGAGCGGCCCCTCCTGCGAAGTATCTGTGACAAGTAGGACGTTTATAGAGAGGCCATGTCTGCTAGGAAAGAGGGGGTTTGATTTTACACATCTTTTGTTGTTGTTATGTGCTATCAAGTCTCCTGTGACGCATAGCGACCCTATGTACAACAGCTCTGAACCCTGTTCTATCCTGAGCCAACCTTATTGTTTCTGACACACCTACTCCCATTACCCCAGCCACTGAGTCAATCCATCTCATCAAGGGTCTTCTTCTCCTGTGCTGTCCCTCCATCCTCCCAAGCATGACATCCCTCTCCAAGGACTGATCTCTCCTTGCAACATGTCCAAAATATGTCAGACGAAGCTTCAGAGTCCTTGCCTCTAAGGGCAGCCTGGTCTCACCCTTCCTGGGACGAACCTGTTTGCTCTCCTAGAAGGCCATAATATATTCCATACTCTTCTCCAGCACCACAGCTCAAAGTCATCAACTCTCCTTCTACCATCCCTAGTCATTGTCCAGCTCTCTGACCTTTAGCAAGTCATTGCAAAGACCATGGCCTTAGTCTACAGACTGATGTTGTTACTCTTCAGTACACTGGAGGTGTCCCTAGCAGCAGACTTTCCCAATGGAATTCGTCTTTTGATTGCCTTACTGCCGGTACCAAGTGTTGATTGTGGAGCCAAGCAAACTAAAGCTGTTAACAATCTCAGTCTCTTCATTGTCTATTCTGATGATGCTGCCTGTCGGCCCAGTGATGAAAACCTTTGTTTTCTTGATATTGAGCTTCAATCCATATTGAAGACTGCAGTCCTTGACCTTCTGCAGCAAGTGCTTCAGGGCCTCCTCAGTATCAGCAAGCAGGGTTGTGTCATCTACATAATATAGGTTGCTAATGAGTCTTCCTCCAATCCTGATGCCACATTTCTCCTCATAGAGCCCAGACTCCCAGACGGTCTCTTCTGCATATAAATTGAAAAGATATGGAGATAGGACACATCCCTGGTGCACACCCTTCCAGATTTTAAACCTTGCAATGTTTCCTTGCTGTTCAATCCTCCCCCTCCTGGTCCAAGTATAGGTTTTGCATAAGCACAGTTAGGTGTTCTGGGATTCCCAGTATTAGAGTTAGCCAGTTTGCTGTGATCCACACAGTCAAATACCTTTGCATAGTTAGTGAACTGCAGACAGACATTCCCCTGGTACTCTCTGCTTCCAGCCGAGATCCATCGGACATTAGCTGTGATATCGCTAGTGTTCTGGCCTCTTCTGAACCCACCCTGGCATCTGGCAGTTAGTTCTGTTAGGGAATATAAGGAGCTATGAGTGTCTGTGAATGTCTGTGAACGGGGTGGGGCAGGGAGCGTGGCCGCTCCCTAAAGGAGCACGGTGGGAAAATGCCGTCGGTGTTGCCAAAGGAAACGTGGACACTGTTGAAGTGGGGTTAGTGTGTGTTGCCAACAAGAATAAAAGAAAATGGTTTCCAGAAAAGCTGCACAGGATGTAAGGGTGGCAGCAGCGGATCTGAGGGAGCTTGCGAAGGGGCCGTGTGGCTCGCAGGCAGGAGAGCGCGCAGGTTTGCAGGAAACACATTGTTTGGTCGAGAGTGGCTCTGGGAGCTGTTGCTTCACCTGCATCTGCTAGTGCCCTGCCTCCTGGTACCCCGCCTGCTGCTGCCCCACCTGCTGGAACCCCACCTACTGGTACCCCGCCTGCTGCTGTCCCACCTGCTGCTGCCCCACCTGCCACTGCCCATGCTCATAAATACCGTGTTCTGTCTCGTGGATGGGATGTGGCCCCGTCACCCAGCCCTGCCACAGGCAGGCCGTGTGACCAAGGGGAAATTGGGATGAAATACTACCTCCCACAGAGGGTCCTTGGAAAGGGTCCTGTACACAGAGTTTAGCTCAGTGGCCGTGTGACAGGCGTGGTAGAAGGGCTCGTTATTGATGCGTATATTGTCGTTAACAAAGCGGCTTTAACATTCCTGTGCATGTCCTTTGTCTGGATGTGACCTCAGTACAATCCCTCAGCAGGTGGTGGGCCAGGGGTCCACGTAGCCATGTATCCTTAACAAGAGGTTTGTGTCATAAGACTCGGGGCTGTGCTCAGCTTACTAAGACCAAGTGACAGCGAGATGGCACTTGTTAAGTGTCACGTATACGTTTGCCTTTTAGGTTGTGTGTCCTTAAATGTTTGACAGTGCTGTCTCCTCAAATCGCATAGCTAGTCAAGCACAAGTACCTGTGTAATGCACATTCACCAAGTTTGCCGTAAAGCTGACTTTCCTTGTAAATGCAGTATCTGACGTCTGTGCTTCAGTGGTTAGGGTTGCACTGCGGGCCCAAACGCAGGCCGTTCGGATCCACTGTCTGTTCCATGGGAGAAAGACAAGCAATGATTTACAGCCTCTGAACACTCCGCAAAGGGTCAGCGTGGAGCCCAGCCCAGCACCTCCACTACCGTATGAAGCAGGCTACAGCCAGGAAAAAGTCTTGAGAGAAGCCAGACAAATCTGTGTTCTCCTTGTTTAACGTCCTCAGTGTGTGTTCTGAGTCTTGATAGGATTGGCTGCAGACAAGCGTACAATTCACGCCCTTGTTCTCTGTAGATGGGGAACTCACGTGTTGAACTCACCCTCTCGGAGCTCCAAGACATGGCAGCGAGACAACAGCAGCAGATTGAAAATCAGCAGCAAATGTTGGTTGCCAAGGTCAGTTGTGAACACAGAGATGGTAAGCACTGGTCAGCACTTACATTGTCCGCTCGCCTGTGCATGGAACTGAGCAGTCCTGGCTCACAGGACAATGCCCGGAGGTGACACACGTGTCTCCCTTCTCCCCACGTCTGTACCAGTGAAGCATGCTCAGCCTCTTAAACCTCAGCACATGTGTACACACACTTACATACGCCTGGCGTCACATACGTGTACACACACACAGCAGCAATGGCTGACCTGATTGAGTCTGTAAATAAGAATTTGCAGAGAAAGCAGCTCTCCCTTTCTCTCTGCGATACCCTCAGCTGTGTGGTCTGTGGTCGTGTACCAGCGTTAAGCCCACCTCCACGGTGAGAGAGCTGGTACGGGGCCCGAGAACAGATGCCATGAGGATCCCCCTTGCTCTGCTCTGTCGGGAGCCGGTAGAGGCTCGAGGTGCACCAGGCCTCTGCCTTTGACTTCTCTCCACTGCGGTTTAGTTCCCACTGGGGTTTAGTCCCCTGCCGACGACCGTCACCAGGCCTGCTGGCAGGATGCTTGCTGTGCGTGGTTTAAAGGCTCAGGATTGGCCTTCAGAGCATCTGCCTTCTTCAGAGGGATGACCCCAGCAACCACTGTGCATTGTCATCGTTCACCAGGTGCCTGTCCGTCTTCACTCCACTCTGCAGTCAGTCACACAAGGTTTTAAAAGGACAAAGTTGATTGCCTTTATAAGAACAAGACCCGAAAGTTAATTGGACAGTGTTTCATTCATTAATAAGGTTTCCAAGGTGAAATGTAGATAATATCTAAATTGTGACATTTTCTAATTCTGTATTTTTACTTGAGTGAATGTTTAAATCATACTGGGTTTTCATACAATCATTCATAGAAATGTTGTGTAATAACCCTGATTATAATGGATCATGTAATTCGCTTCAGTGTCTAACACCTCAGTTATATTACCTTTCCCTTCGGCCAGCTGAGCGGTTTATTCTCTTCGCTCCCCTCTCCCGCCTCCTGGGTCACCATTCCTTGGCTTTTTATACTGGTCTTATATTTCATTTTTATTATCCGAATGTTAATCTAAGAATATTGCTGTTAGAAGACAACTTCTTAGGTTTTTTCCCCAGTCATTCACAAGTTTAGCGCCAAGTCCTCCATGTTTGGGATGTTTCTAGCGTGGAGTTTGGAATGCCTCTGTGGCCGCACGCCCACTTCTCCTTGTGGAGATGCCCTCTCTGTGACACGCAGGGCCGTGGGTACATCGTGTTGACTCTTACCCCTAGAGAGGCTTGCACGGTCAGAGAGGAGAGACCTGTTGAAGAGACGTGCGTGTAGTTTTCTGTTTTAGGGTTAGCCTGTTGTTATTTTACTGCAAAACAAGACATTGCTTTGTAAAGAAGTTAATACTGAAGAGAGCAGGTTCTTCCCTGGTTCTTCGTGTCAGGAGGCTGCCGGGAGTCTGTCTTCTCCCTGAGCGTCTAACCTTTTCCCACAAAGCTGCTCCGAGTCCTTTCCTTGGAGAAGAGAGATCATGGACCTGGGGGAGGTGGAGGGGGTATTGTAGCAGCAGGAAGTCTACAGTGTCCAGCAGGAAGCCGAGCTGCATGGCCTCCCCCAGGCCCTGGGCCCATGAGCTGGGGAGAAGGACTGCAGGACCAGGCCTCTTCTGCTCAGGCACTGGGCCCAGCAGGGAAGCCCCAGTGAGTGAGGGGAGAAGGGTCTCGGGGCCGGCCCTCCCTCCCTGAGCTGCTCAGTGAACTGAGGACTCCTTGGGCTGCACGGTGCTGTCAGCGCCCAGTGCTGGCCCACGGCCCCTCTCGGTCAGGAGCCTGCTCTGTCTGCTCGTTCGCTCTCCATCAGTCCGTCTGCTCACTGTCATTCCGCTCACCGTCAGGTCAGTCCTCCTCCAGGGAGTGGAGCGGTGGTGGGGAGGAGCTGGGCTGCCAATGCCCATGTGCACAGTTCCAGCCCACCTGCCGGTGATCTCCTCCATGTGACTCCCTGCCCTGAAAAGCCCTGGAGGGTCAGCTGGGAGTCGTCCCCAGTCAGCGGTACATGGCAGTGACCTTTCTGGTTAACCAGCTACTTTTCCAAGTGTGAGGTTCTTCAGAGTTCGTGGGCTCGAGTCCTGTGGGCAGAGTCAGATCCATTTGTTTTCCACCACGTCACACAGTGAGCCCGGTCACTGCAGCAGCGTGCGTGCGAGGAGCAGGGCCGCCCGCCTGGGGGTGCCGGCTCAGCGTCCCCTCTCTCCCTGCCCCCCGTCAGGAGCAGAGGCTGCACTTCCTGAAGCAGCAGGAGCGCCGGCAGCAGCAGTCTGTCTCCGAGAACGAGAAGCTGCAGAAACTGAAGGAACGTGTGGAATTGCAGGAGAACAAGTTGAAGAAAATCCGGGCCACGAGAGGCCAGGTGGACTACAGCAAGATCATGAACGGCAACCTGTGTACGTGCTGCACACGTCTGCTCCAGGCTCACCTCCTAACGAGGGCGTTGCTGCTCTGTGTGTCACTGTAGGGAGAGCGCGCTGTGTCACCTGCATTGATGGGGGGAGGGAACAGTGCACATGTCACTGTGGAGACCATGCTCTGTGTCACCTGCTCAGACAGGACAGCTTGTAGGTTGAGTGCTGTTGAGAGGTCTTGGGCAGGAGGAAGGCCTCCAGATGAGCCCCCGGGTCAGGTACACTCATCCTGCTCTGCGGGGCTGTTCTCCTCGCGTGCCTTGAGTTCTCTCCATGGACAAGATGCTTGCTTTCTTCCTGTGCAGACAGTTTGTGAGCTGACTATGCAGGTGAGCTGTGTCAGGCTTACTGTGTGCCGGCTCCTTGTCACTGTGGCCCTGCTGTCACAGTGTCACAGAGCCCGTGGTCTCGGTGCATCAGATCCTAGGCTGGCTGAACCACCTAGCTTTGGGACCAACTGCCCTAAGTATAGGCATTCAAGAGCCAGTGCAGTTGTAAGTGCTTGTTGTGGGAACTGTTTTGGACTATGCACAGCATGGTTTTTCAGAGGTTTTAGATGGTGCCAGAGTTCAGTTTATTAAAGAGGGTAGAACGTCAGTATAGTGGGAATTTTTTACATCCATCCCTCCTGTCATTCTCACCTCCCCCCCTCCAGAGATTTTATCTTTGTCTTTGTTACGCTGCTGGAATAAGTGTTCTGTCCTTTCTTTTTTGTGGGGAACTGTAGCTGCTGAAATAGAAAGGTTTAGTGCCATGTTCCAGGAAAAGAAACAGGAAGTACAAACCGCCATCCTCAGAGTTGATCAGCTTAGCCAGCAGTTGGAAGACTTAAAGAAAGGAAAACTGCACGGATTCCAGTCCTACAACGGCAAGCTGACCGGCTCGGCAGCTGCGGAGCTCAAGAGACTGTACCAGGAGCTGCAGGTAACGCCGTGCACTGCGCACCCCGTGCGCCCCATGCCCCGCACCCCACCACGTGACACGGTGCTGCCTCTACTGCCTCGCTCAGGCTTCTCCCTCGGTGCAGACAGGAAACCTCAGGGATTAGAACAAAGTCAGATTCTCGCCTGGTAGTAGTCACAAAATGTACTCATACAGAAGAATTTGTAACAGCTAATTGAAATATTATTCATGCACCACACGATTCACCCATTTAGAGGGTGCAGTTTAACAGATCTAATACATCCTCAGCGTTGAACATCTACCACCACACACACACTGAGATCATTTCATCACCGTCAGACGTTCCCCTTCCTGTGTGTGCACACCCCAGGTTCTTCCCAATGCCTCCTCTGCCTGTGTGCAGTTGCCTGTCCTCAGCGCTTGCAGAAGAGGGCATACAGTGTGCATTCCTGGTGACTGACTCCTGATGCTAAAAACCAGGAGCTTATGATGAGCTAATAGTCGAGCTTCGCGGACTTGAGGCTTCTGTGTAAACAGTGTTTTGGCAAGATAGGTTTCTAGTTCAGAATCCCATGATTTCCCTTAGATATGACCATCAATCACAGGTGTCCTCCTAAGAATGGTCTTTCAAGTCAAGAATTACAGAGATGGATTTTGAAATCCTATTACTCATGTATTTGAAGCAGGAGTGGCATTCACTTCCTAAACAGCGTGCCTCTGTAAGACCTTTGAGAAATGTCAGTAGTTACAGAAGGGCTTCAGGCCTTTTGTTCATAGGGTTGCCATGAGTTGTGCTTGACTCGAAGGCAATCAACAACAACAACGTTGTTGTTGTTGTTGTTGTTGTTATGTGCCGTCGAGTCGTTTGCGACTCATAGCGACCCTATGCACAACAGCCCTAAACCCTGCTCTATCCTGTGCCAACCGCACTGCCTCTGACACACCCATTCGAATCAATCCATCTCATAGAGGGTCTTCCCCTCCTGCGTCGTCCCTCCACCCTCCCAAGCATGATGTCCCTCTCCAAGGACCCGTCCCTCCTGGCAACATGTCCAAAGTATGTCAGACGAAGCCCCAGAATCCTTGCCTCCAAGGAGTAGCTTGGTTTAATACTAATAGGAAAATATTGTCTTAAAAAAGAGAGTTGTGGGTTTTTTTCTATAGGGCATCCTGTAGAAAAGTTCTTGTACATAAATGGGAAAGAATAAAGCCTGGGAACGTAGGGTTTCTTTATACTTTCACTGACAGTCCCACTGCAGGGGTGTCTGTTCATGTGCTTGTGAGCAGCTCTGGAAGGTCCTGGAGGCCCTGGGTCGAGGCCCCTCCTTGCACATGGGGATGACACTGACCTGTAGAAGGCAGAGCACTCTCCAGCTTTGCCTTGGTGCCAGGGAGGCGGGGTCAGCATGAGTGGCTGTAACCCATCCTCACCGAGACCCTGGGCATGTGTGCAGGTCACGTGCTCAGCTCCCGCTGTCCCTCATGCTACAGGGGTTTGAACTTGTCTGTTCTGTAAGAAATGGGGTTTGGATTCATCTAGGCTGTTCCCGGAAGATCTTAGGCCCAAGGCAGTGATGGGTGTAAACACGCTGGAGAAGCTAATGCTCTGTGTCCTTGTCTTTCCCCCGGGAGTAAGGATTTGGCTGTAAGATTAAAGCTGACCATCAAAATCACACTCTGCTTTGTAGATCCGTAACCAGCTTAACCAGGAACAGAACTCAAAACTCCAGCAGCAGAAAGAGCTTCTCAACAAACGTAACATGGAGGTGGCCATGATGGACAAGAGGATCAATGAGCTGCGTGAGCGTCTCTACGGGAAGAAGATCCAGGCATGTGCCCGACTGGAGACCACGGCCACGGCCATGGGTGTCCCCGACAGGACCCACCTTCCCTGGTCCACGCTGTCCCCTCCCCCAGCTGTCAGGACGTGTTCCCCTCCCCCAGCTGTCACAACGTGTTCCCCTCCCCCCACTGCAGCTGTCACAACATGTTCCCCTCCACCCAACTGTCACGACGTTCCCATCCACCATGGCTATAGCATAGAATGTCCCCTCCCCACAGCTGACACAGGCATGGTCCCCTCCACCATAACAAAGATGTCCCCTTCAAGCCTGAAACATGTCACCCTATAGCACATCTGTCACGTAAAATGTCCCTTTAGGTTGTTGTAGACTGTCAACTCAGAACTGAGCCGTTGCTGACCCTCCAGCAGGTTTTCAGAGGCAGGAACCCACACAGGAGGAGAGGGCCAGTGTTTCTCCTGTGGAGCAGCTGGTGGACTCGAACCACACATGTTTGCGTTGGCAGCGCACTTTCTTACCACTGAGCCACCAAAGCTCCATGTTTCTTCTACCACATCTGTGACATAAAATGCCCCCAACTGTAACATAAACTCTCCTGCTCCACACGCTGAAACACTAAACACACTAAGCACCGCTACAACCTCCAGTGCCCCTCCACAGCGTGACACAAAATGGGCATCAGCCTCCAGAATGCAGGAGCCCCGAGTCCACGCTTCCCTGGTGCACAGTCAGCCCCCCACCCACCCTTTTCCATCCGGCTCCTTGTGTCTTCCCTCTTCCTGCAGGCCCTGTGCCACCCCCCACCTGCCTCCCTGTCTGCCCAATCACTGGGCTCAGTGCCCCCCGCCATCCACCCCCTCCC